GGCACAGAGAAGAAGGTTTTGTATTAGTCTCCTTGTCCCTCATTCTACTGTGCCCAAGGACAGGGGCTGAGCCAGAGAGAGCAGTGCGTCTCCTCCCGCCTTTCCTGCGCGGCTGGAACCTGTCTGCAGGCCATCCTACCATCACTGTGCCCAGCCCGAGTGCCCTCTCACCTAGGGACGCTCTGCCTCTCCACTCACCCCCAACCTCCTTTGTCTTGGCTTCCTGGTCGTGACTGCCTCCCTCTCCCCCGCAGCCCCCACAAGCCCACCAGCCTCCCAGCCATCCCAGCACCCTCCTTCCTAATCTTAGGAGGCATCTCGTCCGGCTGAACTGGAGAATTCTGGGATCTAGGCCATACTCCTTAGCAGACAGCCCCATCCTTAGGAGGAGGAGCAGGAGAGGGCCTGAAGAAGAAGTGGGGGTGGGGTGGGGGGCTGCTGGGGACAAGGTCAGGCCAGGAGGCCCCCACCCACCCACCGAGGACAGGGACTGTGAGGAGACTGGGTTGAGGGGAAAGCAAAGGAACTAGAGCCAGGGCCGAAGGAAGAGAGGGGCCAGCAGGGAGGCATTTGCGGGGGAGGTTCAGCAGCTGTCTTTCCTAAGACAGGGACACATGGGCCTGGTTATTCCTCCTGTCACATGTGGAGTGGTAGGGGATGGAAGAGGGAGAAAGACAGGGCAAAGAGAGAGAGATGGGGGCTGAGTGGTCCCAACCATCGGGCCCCAGCTGAGCCCAGGCTTAACCCAGGACACACATCTCCCTTCAGTCCTCTCAGACTGGCCAAAGCCTTTCCCCCTAACACCGACCTCTGACAGGATCCTTCTCTAGTACAGGCAATACCTGGATTCCCACTTGGAAAGGGGGACTGACGGGGCAGGACCCCTTAGGGGGTTAAGCAGAGAAAAAGCAGGAAAGCAACAGTCCTATTGGATTTCCCCAGCAGGTATGGTGTCTGAGGAACAGAAATTTGGGCAGCCAGGAACTTAAAAACCCGCCTATCTAAAACAAGAACAAAAATGTCCTGCCAGATTCGTCCAGGGAAAAAAAAACCTCTGCTCCCACCCATCTCTTCCCCCAGCTGGGTCCCAGGTTTCCTGTCTCCTGGGAAAAGACGGGATCCCCTTATTGAAATCTGCCCCGTGGTATGTGGGTGGAGGAGCTGGGCTCCATCGGTGGACCATGGGCCAGGCAGGGGCTCCAGGTCCAGCGCGGGTGGGAGGAGAAGGCGTCACTTCCGGGGGCCCTCGCCAGTGTCTGGTGGCTCCCTGCTGATTGGGCAGAAGTGACCAGGGCAGGCGTGTGACCCCACTGCCGTGGAGGGGCTGTGCCCCAACGCCACATGCCTTCCTACCTATCTGCTCCCCAGAGTCCTGCCTGCTCTGTACCTGGGTCCTTGAGCCCTTCTCCACCTGGTGAGTGACAAGCCGGGTGTGGGGTTAAGTGAGGGTAGGAAGGACAGGGAAGCAGAATTGGGCTGTCAGCTGGGGGAGGGGCAGGCAAACTGGAACCTCCAGGCACTGACCTTTGTCAGAAGAGTGTCGCCTTCCCAGAATGGGAGGAGCAGGACAGAGCAGGGGTAGGGGGTGGGGTGCTGGTTTCTGAAGGACTGATCACAGGCTTGGGAGAATACAGCACAGTCCCTGTGGCCCCTAGAAAGGGGAACACAGGCCCAGGGAGAAAACAAGGAGGAGGCGCATTTAGGGCCTAGGGACACAGCCCCAATCCTCTTTCACCAGGTCCCTCCTTGTTAGCTCCAGGCCGTGGGTCCTGGGGCTGGGGAAGGCAAGGCACAGGGACAGACGAAGGGGAGGCGGGCTCCTGCATGTTGACAGGCCTCCAGGAAATCCCAATATTGAATCAGGTGCAGGCCTCTGCACAACTTGTGAAAGAAGGAGGAAGCCACGTGGGGGGTCCTGCAGGAACCGGAAGGGGTCTGCAGAGGGGGCAGGGAGGAAGGTGCGGGCGAGGAGAGAGATGTAGAGAGATGTGTTGGTGGGAATCTAGGGGAGGTTAAGCCACAGTGCACCGCCTCCCTGAGGCAGCCATCACCTCACCCAGCAGGTGCCCATTCCCCAGCACCCTGCCTCGGGAAGGAAGTCCCAGGACCGTGAGTCCATCTCTTGGCCTTGCACAACCGGGGATTTCAGAACCTGGAGTGCAAAGAAAAGTCCAAGAGGCTTTATGTGCGGAGGTGGGACGGGACAGAAGAAAAGATTAACTGCTCCCACATCTCGTTCTCCCGACCTTTCACTCACGGGCCTCTAGGAGGCCCAGCGATGTTTCTGCCCACTCCCCAACTCGGAAGCGGTCCCTCCACACACTGTACGTGTTTGCGGGTTCCTGGTCCTGGCCCTATACCCCATTTTCCACTCTCTTCTCCAAGCTTGGGCCACGATACTTTCACTCTTCATCTCATCCCAGATATTCTTCAACCAACAACCGAGGCTGCTCAGAATTTGAGGGAAATTCAGATGCGTTCATGTACATAGCCTGTCCTTCTGCTCTTGGGGGATGTTTGGGGGTGCCAAACCCACTTCAGATTCATGGAGAATCCCTGACAAAGAGGAGACACAATATGGTGCAATCACAAGAAGCATGGGACCAGTCAGAGCTTTAGCAGTTCTAGGCTGATCAGCATCTCAAGCCCTCCCGGCATCTCTTCCCCTGCCAGGCGGACTCTTTCCCTTGAAACTTGATTACATGTTCACTATTCCTGTCACTTTCAGGATAGATTCCAGACTCTCTTCTTCGGCCCACCTGTGCTCCGCCCCACTCTACCCAGAAGTGCAAGAGCCCCAGCCGCCCCCATGGCCCCAGGAAGGATTCAGGGGAGAGGCCCCATACAGGGAGCCACTCCAGCCAGACACCAGGGCCAGAATGGAGCTGACTGGTAAGAACACACTTGAGGGGCCTGGTGCCAGATCAGAACTGGGCGAAAGAGAAAGGAGACACGCTGCAGGGCGGGCGCAGGGGAACCCAGTCTCCCAGGAATAATGCATCCCCAGATTTCAGGTCTGAGTCCTAAATGGGAATTCCTGGACCACCACCCACAATGACTTCTTCCTTATCCACCCCTTTCAACCTCACCTCTCCTCATCCAAGAATTGCTCCTCGTGGTCATGCTCCTTCTAACTGCAAGACTAACTCTGTCCAGCCCGGCTCCTCCTGCCTGTGACCCCCGACTCCTGAATAAACTGCTTCGCGACTCCCGCATCCTTCACGGCAGACTGGTGAGGACCCCCAAGCGCCGTCCCCCCTGTCCCCTCTGTCCCCTTCACTGGTATGATACCCTCACTCCCTGGTCCAATCGCTAGGTGTCCCCCATCCCGTCATCTTTAGTAAGACCATCCTTACTGATCACCTCTCCCTGACAAGGACTGGGCTCTGCAACAGCACCCTCTTTGAAAAATTCTCATCTGGACATTTTCCCCACGAATGCCTGTCCTGGTCATTGGGCCACATACTTCCCTCAGCTTCAGCTCCTTCCTCCTCTCATCCAATCTTGTTCAACAGAGCCAGTGCCCAGACTTTAACCCTCTGTCCACACCTGTCCTGCTGCCTGCGGTGGACTTCAGCTTGGGAGAATGGAAAACCCAGACGGTAAGAATGGCCATTCCCTCCCTTGGTTTTCCTCAGCCCTGTCTTCATCAGTTTCCTACTGCTTCCCATGAATTTCTTCAAAATTCCTGAGCACCCTAAAAATACCTCGCCTTCAGCCTGGCCACACTAACCCGACCCACATTCTCCTGTGATGATATCCTCTGAACGAGAATTGTCTTGGGCTTGCGGGCCCAACATGTCATACAGATTCAAAGCTGAACACCATGAAAAGCTGGGTGGAAGTCTCTCATAGCCATGCCTTTGACCTTTCTAAACTGGCAGGAAAAAGTAAGACTGATCTGTCACCCAGAGATGACATAAAGCTGGAAAGCACAGCTAAAATAACAAAAAGGCAGAATCAAGATTCAAATCGCTGAAAGGCTAGGTCAGAAACAAGGTGAAATTTAACAGAGCTATATACAAAATTCTGTCTGTGTCAATTAATTGAGTAAAGTCCTATTCCAGCTTTCATGCCATAAATGCCTCCACTTCCCTCATACAAACTTCTAGCCCTAGAATTTCCTACAAAAAAGTTCTGGGAGAGGTGTGTTGACCCCAAACGTAGCATATTACATTACTGAAGCAGCTATTTTAAAAGCTAACAATTTCAGCCTGATTCAGATGTTTACTTCCAGACTGTAGAAACATTCCTACAAAACTCTATTCTGATCAGAGTACCCTTCAGAAAGTACTGGATTGAGTACCTTTTTTTTTTTTTTTAAATTAAGAAAGACCATGTTAAGCTAGCATATGTCCAGAAGGAGGCAACCTGAACGGTGAGAGGTTAGAAAACATGTCTCATGAGAAATAATTTAAAAAAAAAAATCTGTCTGGGGTCTTAAAAGCTTATGAACAGCCATCTAAGATACAACAATTGGTCTCTATCCGCCTAGAGCAGCAGAAGCAGGAGGAGACCCAGGAATTGGAGGAGGAACTGGACTGCAGGTCTAACTGCCTCCTTTTCTATGAGACCAGAAGAGCTGAATGGTGCCCAGCTACCATTGCTGAACAATTCGATTAAGGAATCCATAAATGAATCCTGATCAAAAGGGGAAAAAATGTAGAACAGAATTTCAAAGTCTTACAGAATCCACTTACTGGACTATTGAGACTGGAAAGAACTCCCAAATCTATCATTCTGAGAAAATCTTCAAGCCATGAACCTAAATTATCCCCTGAAATCATCTTTGAACTGGACAACTGTTTAGCTAAATTAGTAAACAGTGTTTGCCATGAGCACTGCACTCGTTAAAGGATTATCTGTATGAGAACTAATTGTCCACAGTAACTCTGAAGCACAGATGAGAAGTTTGGGGGGCAGTGAGTCTAAGTCAATGATGGTGAAACAATATGGGCAGAGACGGCAAGCACGGTGACAGAAGGTGAAGAACGGAACCCATGTTTACTGAACTGTACGTGCAGAAACTGAGGACTGGGTGTACGCTCTGCTGTGTGTAAAATCAGAAGAAAAATAGTAAAAAAAAAAAAAAAAAATCCGTCTGATTCACCTGGAGAAAAGCGGTAGTCTTGTGGTACAGCAGAGACCCTGTACAACCAACTTGTCTCCATGGTAATGCAAACGGTTAATCACTCCGCTGCTAACCAAAAGGCTGATGATTTGAACACACCCAGAGGCACCTCAGAAGAAAAGCTTGGCAATCTGCTTCCAAAAAGGTCACAATCTTGAAAGCCCTATGGAGCACTCTTCTACTCTGCAACACACAGGTCAACACACAACTCTAACAGCAACCAGTTTGGCTTTTGTGGTACCGCAGGAAGTGACTGGGGCTCAGGAAGGAAGCACTCCTTGGTAGGCTAACTTTTCTACCCTCAGTCAGTAACCAGTTGCCACTGATTTGATTCTGAGTCATGGCGACCCCATGTGTGTCAGAGTAGAACTGTGCTCTGTAAGGTTTTCAGTGGGTGATTTTTCAGAAGTAGATCGCCAGGCCTTTCTTCAGAGATGCCTCTGGGTGGACTTGAACTTCCAGTCTTTCAGTCAGCAGCCAAGCACATTAACCCTCTGCACCATCCTGAGACTCCTTGTGCTCTCAAAATCCGTAAAATTCCCCTCCATTCTCTCAGGTTTTCTAGGGGGACTGGGTTAGAGAAGAAGGCAGCCCCTAAGGGTCCCTGGAGGTAATTCCAGCTCTGTCAGTTATCAGCACATCCCTTCCCTTCATCTTTCTGATCTCTAGGACAGACTCTCACCTGTACATCAATTACACCAGAGTTTCTCAAGGTTCCTTACAGATCTAAAAATTGTAGGATCCTACAGTTTTGTCGCAGAAAGGGTAGATTTGCAGTACTAGGACCAAGAGGTTAAAGTAGAACAGATTTCCGAGTATTATAAGGGGAAAAGGAAAAAAAAAAACAACTTTTCTAAAATTAAGCCTAACACCAGGCTGGGTTACCGGACACTGGAGTTATTCAAGCAGAGCCTGATGACCGACTGTCCGGAGACTGTAAAAAAATTCCTGTGCTGGGTGGGACCTCGGTCCTGTCCAGTTTTCAGCTCCTATGATTCATTCTGCTGGCTACTCCTCCCGGCTCCCCACCCGCTGTTAGCATGCCCTTTGAAGACAGTCCCCTTCTCTCCTCCTTCTCTCTCCCAGGAGCAGAACAAGGCACAGGACGTTCTGGGAGCAGTGACTCTCCTGCTAGAGGGAGTGATGGCAGCACGGGGACAACTGGGACCCACCTGCCTCTCATCCCTACTGGAGCAGCTCTCTGGACAGGTCCGCCTCCTCCTCGGGGCTCTGCAGGGCCTCCTGGGAACCCAGGTAAGCCCCCAGTCAAGGGAGCTACAAGAACTGCTCTTCTTCTCTGACCCAGTAGCCGTAGAAGACACGAGGGGAAAGGGGGAATTCTAGGGATTTTGAGGGCAGAAGAGTTGACCTACCAAGAAATGCTCACTCCCAGCCATAAAGCCTGCATGCCAGTCCCCCACCATCTCCACAAAGGCCCGGGAGGCGCAGTATCTGGCCCAGGTCTCAGGCCTCAGGCCCATCCTCTGCCCTCAGCTCCCTCCACAGGGCAGGACCACAGCTCACGAGGATCCCAACGCCATCTTCCTGAGCTTCCAACAGCTGCTCCGAGGAAAGGCGCGTTTCCTGCTGCTTGTGGCAGGGCCCACCCTCTGTGCCAGGCGGGCCCTGCCCACCACAGCTGTCCCAAGCAGTGCCTCTCGATCCCTCATACTGAACAAGCTCCCAAACAGGACTTCTGGATTGCTGGAGAGAAATGCCAGTGCCTCAGCCAACACTACTGGCTCTGGACTTCTGAACAGACTGCCGGGACTCAGCGCCAAGATTCCTGGTCTGCTGAACCAAACCTCGAAGCCCCTGGGCCAAATCCCTGGATCCCTGAACGGGACGCATGGACCCTCAAATGGAACTCATGGACTCTTTCCTGGGCCCTCACCCAGGGCCCCAGGAGCCTCAGACATCCCCCCAGCAACTTCAGACACCAGTTCCTTGCCACCCGACCACTGGCCTGGATATTCTCCCTCCCCAGCCCATCCTCCTACTGGACAGTACATGCTCTTCTCGCCCTTGCCCACCTCACCCACCCCCTTGGTCCAGCTCCATCCCTAGCCTCCTGGCCCCTCCACTACCCTACCCAAGCCCAATCCTACCAGCCCTCCTCTAATCAAAGCCCACCCTTACTCCCAGAACTGTCTCAGGAAGGGTAAGGTGCCGAGGCCCTGCCAACACCGATGGGCGTTGTGTCACATGTACAACTTCCTTACCTGGGAGAGAGGCCCTGGCAGACAGCTGCCCCTCTACAGAGTTCCTGCTGTCACCTCAAACCCAACGCCTAGATAAAGAGGAACACACGGGACAGATAAAGGGGTCTTTTTTCACTCTATGTTATAAACCTTCAGAAACTATTTTTTTAAGGTATCAATAATACTCATCAGAGCAGCTAATTATCTTTGGTCTACTCTTCTTACATATTTACAACTTACTAACTCTCTATACGGAGCCCTGGTGGTGCAGTGGTTAAGAGCTCGGCTGCTCACCAAAAGGTCGGCAGTTCGAATCCACCAATATGCTCTTTGTCATATGATAATTCTGCGAAGGCCCAGACTAGCTTGGTCTCTGAACAGAGGCGGAGACTAACCCTTATGTCAGAAAACAGAGGGGCTTCCCTCTGCCTCAAGCTGAAGGCCCTCCGATGCCCTCACCCTCTTTACTATCACTCTGCGGGGTTTGATCCTTGCTCTAGAGAAATGAATGGAAGTTGTCCCTCAAAAGACTGTCCCTACCCGATAGACAAAACTGAGCCTGTGTGGATAAGAAATAAATGAGGGGTACCAAAAACTACCCAAAAAGCAGGGAGAGGTGTTCTTCGGGGGAGGGACAAAGACCCGCCCCCCACCACGAAAGCTAACAGGAAGCCGCGCAGCGCTTCACACCCCAGGTAAGGCTGTGCAGACAGCTCGGTCAGGACAGGACCTGGATATGACAGCTGAGCAAACAGCTGCAACTTCAGCCGCTCAGCGGGCAGCCTGTACGGGTTCCTGCCTCCCTCCTGCGGAGGCCCGGGGGAAGTGCAGGAAGCGGCAGGAGTCGGGCTCCTTGGGCTCTCGGCAGGAGGGACAAGTACAAGTCAAGTACAAGCTGAAGGCTCATCTCCCAATTCACAGAGGCTCACGGTATCTAAAAAGGGGTCCTGTGTGACCACCATAAGCTATGCTGGGGCATGTCTAGAAAGAGAAACCAAGGCAGGCTACGGGGCTCTGCAAATAAATGCTGATGCTGTCTTGGTGCCCAGGAAGAGGAGGTTATTGCTGCACAAAACACAAGCTCCACTGCAAATGTCAACCAGCCACCCAGTGGCTCCTGAAGAAAGACTAGTGGAGCTTTTTCCTCCCCACCCCTGGAAGGAAAGGAGATAAAGAAGTTCTTGCCACAATTACCCAAAGAAATCACAGTGACGCCAGAGGATCACGAGAGGCATTCCAAACCAGTACAATGGAAGCTGGTGCGCTGGGAACTTGATGTGCGTTACCTTCTTTAATGCTCAAAACCAACCACACTCTACAAGTAGGTACTGTCTCTGTTTTACACATGAGGAAACTGAGGCAGAGAAGCCGGGCGAGTTTCCGACGGGTACACAGCCTGTAGGCAGGAAAAGAAGAAAAACCCTAGGCTAGGTCACTCCGCTGTACTCCCTCTGCTCTGACGCTCTGACGCGGCATCCCTCTATGTCATGCAGTGATTCTATTTATTGCAAAAGATTCCCAAGTCCTTAGGGAGTAAACACATCAAGAGTTAAAGAGTTGTGGGTAAAAAACCAAAGCTCGTGGTGGGGGTGACCAATTTAGACATCTCCAGGTGTCCGCGTCTCCCCCCACAGACAGAACAGTTACCATGGAGACGGAATCAGTAGATGCACAAGGCTCACAAGTGCCATCCAAATCCCAGCTAGCGGCACTTTCAGCATGGGAGAGAGTTAGTTCATCCACGCTACGAATTCCAGGAGGCAGTAAGGGACTGGGAAGTGGAGACTGTAATTTACTGAAATAGTGAAGTAGGTTAAATTTAATGATCCAACAAGAACACCTGAGGACCCAGGAAAGCCCCAAGCGCCAGGACAAGGTACGTGCGGGAAGCAGAGGAGAGAATGCTGGGTTCTCAGCGCAGTCGGGTGAGAGGCAAGGAGGGCAAAGCTGCAAGAAGGCTGCAGCCAGGACGTTTCAGGCATCCCGTATCAGCACTGGACTTCCTCCGGGGGTCCAGGGCAGATGCAGAGCACTCGCGGGCTTCTCCAGTGTGACGACCTGCCACCAATGAGACTTGAACCCCCATCTGGCTAATTCCACCCCTGCTTCCCTTTGACACAAAAGGCAACAAGCTTTTACAGCCAGAACACTCCTATCCCCATTGAGCTTTATGCCAGTTCTGTGGCATCTGCTACCCCAGGGCACCAGGACATCCTGCTATGATAACCCACAAGCTACCACTGGTAATTAATCTAACCTAAACCCATCCTTCTCTATCCCCCCTAAAACCCGACTCCAGCGATTCTAGGATTCCCATAAAAATTCACCCTGCCCCCACCACACCTCCTACCCTGGAGCCCTCCTTCCCCCTACAGAGGCAAAAGAAACACCTTTTCTGCTCCCTGCAGAGGTCATTTTCAACCCATTTCCCTAAATACCATTTCTAACACCTCATGGAAAGGCCTGAACACGACGGGGAAGGAAATACCCCAGGCATCCCAGCAGGGCGCCAGCTCCCTTGGCAAAACTAGGAGATCAAAAGCCACAACTGCTTAACATACACTCCCAGAAAATCTTTCTGGATTGTTACCATGGATTTCTCAGGGGAAAACAGAGTCTCGTATACTTTCTCAAAGACCATTAGCTCCAGACTGAAGAGTCAGATCGTATGCTGGAGTCCTGGCGAGCACCACCCTTTCCTCAGCTTTCCCTTCCCCGACTCACAGGCCCGCGGCTGCAGGCAGGAGCTGCACTGTCCCGGGCACTGTCACTGGACTGCCAGCCTCGTTGGTATTGTTGCCCCGTCCACTCCGCTGGTCTGTGCAGCAGCTCCCTGTTCAGTGTCACCGGTAAGAACCACCATCACTTACTCTCCATCCCAGGCCACCACCAGAATGGAGAGCAGATGGCTCTTCCACCTGCTTCCATAACCAAGTCCTCTCCTACTTAGATAGACGTGGTCCATGCCTGTGTCTAAAAGCCTCCACCCAAAGATTCCATAAAAATCCCGAACATTTCCAGGCTATCCAAGTGACTCATTCAAGCCAACGTGAACCGACTCCCTAAGAGACTCAGAGTGTTGGAAGGCCATAAACAGGGCTCCTTGCCAATTCAAAAGTCTGTGCCAGATGGGTGGGATCTTCCGGGCCCGGGGTGCCCTCAGGAGCCAGAAGCCCAACAACATTCTCTCCCTGAGAGAAAGCCACACTGGAGGATAAATGGTGGAACTGGTCAACCAGGAGACCGAGAAAACCCTGGGGTAGATTCTACGTTGATACGTGACCATCAGGCTGTGGGCCAGAAACGTAATATACCACACACAAATGGAAAAAAACGATTTTAAAGGAAATAGTTTTTTTTTTAAAAAAAAAAAGGAAGGGAACCTGAAAAAGTAAAGTTTAATTAAAAAATCCTATTCAGAAAACAACTCCTGATTCATTTTAAGCTCTCCCACTAGGTCTTCCAAAGGCAAGCCAGTTCCCATTGAGTTCAGCCCACCAACAGGTACGCCCGCAGGGGACAGAGAGCCAGTCTCTCCTTAACAGGTGAGCAACAGCAACTGCTACTCAGGCTTGGGGGAAGTTGTCTGGATGGTGACACCCTCAACAGGACAAGTTGGCTGGGAGTTTGGGACAGGATGTCCGTGACCTGAGTGACTCAGCAGCACGACTGGCGCCCCAGGTGGTTCAGAAGGCCAGTTTCTTCATCAGCAGGTACACTCTGGAATCCACCTCAAATCCGTGCAGGTTATTGGCATCTCCCTGCAGCCGCATGAGCAGGCCTCCATAGGAGACGTAGGCAGAGCTGAAACAGAAGGCCCCTGGCCCGTGAGTCTGCCCTCCGGAGAGGCTACTACTCGGCGGCTCTCCATCCCAGCCTACAAAGAGTCACCCTCCTAGAGTTTTCTCATTAGGGACCCAAGTTCAAACAAAGATCAATACACAGAGCAAGATGGTGCTCTTTATGTTAGCAACAGTGGAAAACAACCACACGCCCAAAATGAGGAAAACCGTCAAATGAAATATGATATACCCATTTAGGATCAAACTGACAACAGCAACTGGGAAGACGGAATAGGAACCTTAGGGGGCAGTGAGTTCATGTTAATGGGGGAAGAACAGCTGAGAAAAGGAGGGTGACAACGGTTGCACAACTCAAAGAATATAATCAATGTCACTGAATTATACATGGAGAAACTGCTGAACTGGTGAGTGTTCCGCTGTCCATATTCTCAACAACAACAAATAAATTTTAAAACGAGAGAGACAGCTTTTTTAAAAAAAAAAAAGATATATCCGTTTAACAGAACGTTTAGGAAGAGTTCTAAATTGACATGAAGAAATGTGTTTTACATAACACTAAGCAAAAGGAGCAAAAACCATTGTAAAAAACAACATGCTCTCCAAGAAAAAACAACTAGAGTATTCAGAACTGTTCCTGTAAAAGGTTGCCTCTGGGTATGGAATTATAGGTGACTTTTTTCCCTTCTTCACATTACTTTTCTGTGCTTTTTCAATTTCTTACAATGGGCACATGTTGTTTTAATAAGATTTGAAAGAAAAGAAAAAATAGTTGGGCAAGGAAACCCAAGAACTAGGGATTGGGTTGCAGAGTAGCAAAAAACACACGCGCGCGCACACACATGCACGCAGATACGAACACACGCACACACACGCACGCAGATATGAACACACGCACACACACGCACGCAGATACGAACACATGCACACACGTGCACACACACGCAGATACGAACACACACACGTGCACACACACACGTGCACACGCAGATACGAACACGCGCACACACATGCAGATATAAACAAATGCACACACGTGCACACACACGCAGATACGAACACGCACACGCACGCAAATATGCACACGCACACGCGCGAGCATATGCATGCAGATACGAACAGATGCACACACGTGCGCACACACGCAGATACGAACACACGCAGACACACACAGATACGCACACACACGTGCACACACATGCACGCAGATACGAACACACACGTGCACACACGCACGTAGATACGAACACACGCACATACACGTGTACACACACGCAGATACGAACACACGCACACACGCACAGATATACACGTGCGCACACACACATACAGACGCACGCAGATACACACATGCACACGCACGCAGATACGAACACACGCACGCAGATACGAACACGTGCACACACGTGCACATACACACACGCAGATATAAACACGCACACACACGTGCACACACACACAGATACGAACACGCACACACGCATATATAAACACACGCACACGCAGATATAAACACGCACACACACGCACTCAGATATAAACACGCACGCAGATATAAACACGCACACGCACGCAGATACGAGCACACACACACGCAGATACAAACACGCACACACATGCACGCAGATATAAACACACGCACACACATGCAGATACGAGCACACGCACACATGCAGATAATAAACGCACACACGCACGCAGATATAAACACGCACACACACGCACGCAGATATAAACACACGCACGCAGATATAAACACGCGCGCGCACGCACGCAGATACGAACACGCACACACACGCAGATATAAACACGCACACATACGCACATATAAACGCACACACACAGATATAAACACACGCACACACACGCACGCAGATATAAACACGCACACACGCACGCAGATACGAACACGCACACATGCAGATATAAACACACGCACACACACGCACGCAGATACGAGCACACACACACACGCAGATATAAACGCACGCACACACACACAGATATAAACGCACGCACGCACACACACACAGATACGAGCACACGCACACACGCACACACGCACAGATATAAACACGCACACACACGCAGATATAAACACGCACACGCACAGGCAGATATAAACACGCACACACACGCAGATATAAACACGCACACACGCACGCAGATACGAGCACACGCGCACACAGATATAAACACGCACGCAGATATAAACACGCACACACATGCACGCAGATACGAACACACGCACACACATGCAGATATTAACACGCACACACATGCATGCAGATACGAGCACACGCACATACACACACGCAGATACAAGCACACACACACACACAGATATAAACACACGCACGCACACGCAGATATAATCGCATGCGGACACACGCACGCAGATATAAACACACGCACGCAGATACGAGCACACGCACACACACACATATAAATACACACACACACAGATATAAACGCACACACACACACAGATATAAACACACACACGCACGCAGATATAAACACATGCACACACACGCACGCAGATACGAGCACACGCACACACACACACAGATATAAATACACACACACACATATAAACACACACACACGCACGCAGATATAAACACACACGCACGCAGATACGAGCACACGCACACACACACACAGATATAAACGCACACACACACACAGATATAAACACACACACACGCACGCAGATATAAACACATGCACACACGCACGCAGATACGAGCACACGCACACACACACAGATATAGACACACGCACACACACGCAGATATAAACGCATGCGGACACACGCACGCAGATATAAACACACGCACGCAGATACGAGCACACGCACACACACACACAGATATAAATACACACACACACAGATATAAACGCACACACACACACAGATATAAACACACACACGCACGCAGATATAAACACATGCACACACGCACGCAGATACGAGCACACGCACACACATGCACGCAGATATAAACACACGCACACACGCAGGCAGATATAAACACATGCGCGCACACACACGCACGCAGATATACACACGTGCGCACACACACACCCCAGCACAGAGCATAGCAGTTCAGTCCCTTGATGCTGCATCTAGTTCCTGAGGAAGCAACTCTCCTTTGTGTACTTCACCCAGCAAAACCAACAATTTCCCATGCAGACCCCACCTAAGTCTGAAATGCCTGGGGACAGGGGCCCCACACAGGAAGCAGGGGCACGACCCTAATTCTCAGAACAGAAGAGGGGGGGAAAAGGATTCTCACGAGACCACAGAACTTACAGGCGCGTTGCCGCTTCAGTGGAAGTTTCATCGCCCTCGATCCTATACACTTTCCCATACATGACGTACTCAAACTGGTCAGCCCTGTGGAGTAACAGTGGCAGTTATTCTTCCTAGAAATTAACAATAAGAGGCCCTTTAAAAATGGCAACTGGAAACTAAGTGCCAGTATTTTAAAAACGGGCCCTTTACGGACATGCTGTCATTTAGTCCTCAGCAACACTATGAGCTGGCTAAGACCATCTCCACTTTACTGAGGAGAAAACTGAGGCTGAAAGAGGTGACTCCGCAAACTAGAGGCGGAGCTGAGATTTGAACTCAGTAGCGCTCCAAACCCTTTGCACACATGAAGCTCCCTCCCAAGACCCAAAGCCCACATAACCTAGCTCACTCGGTGGTCAGTCCCTCAGCCTTCAAAGAACTGCAACTCAGAAGCATGAAATCCTGCCTCGTGATAAATGCCTGGCTGTCTAAATTCGGTAAGTGCAGCACATTCCTTGCTACTCAGATTCCGCTAATAATCATTTATTCCAATAATGAAATAAGAGTCTTTCCGCACCCCTTATCTACTTAGCCTTCAGCGTATATTTCAAGCATTCCCTCCTCCAGTCTCTCACCTGGAAGGCCGGTCATCTGTGGGATTGTATTCACCGTCATCCAGCGTCCCATCCTCATACAAGGTACTGGCTATGACCAACCGGAACTTGTCACCTGAAGAGAATGGCAGTATCTGAAGGTGAAGACAGCTGCAATGGCAGAAAGCGCCTGGCTATCGCCTGTGTTCGGCACTTACCCAAGTCTACGGGGTAAATCTGAATGTTTACATCTAAGATGAGGTCCATCTTGAATGATTCACTCTCACAATGTAGTCGGGACACTGGGGGTGGGAACAGAGAAAAGAGTTGCAAAGGTAATTGCCAGGTCCAGGGCAGACCTCGCTGTGGGGATTATACGCAAAGGAACGCTCAGTCTAACTAGCCTCATCCACTGGCCTCTCATCTACTGTCATAAAAGTGCAGACTCAATCGAAACCACATACGCAAAAAGGAAAACTATTTCAAGGGAACAGAATTCCCAGAAAAGAATCAAAGGAAAAATGTAACTAATATCACTGAACAATTTATACAGAAATTGTCATCTGGGAACCTCATATACTGTGAAAACTTTCACCAAAAACACAATAAAACATTACTGTGAAAAAAGAGAGAGAGAATCAAAGGTACTCTGGCAGGGAGTAATACATAGGTTCTAGCCCTGCCTAGGTGGTTAAGAAATAACCTGACTTTGGGCACGTTATTCATTCATCCAAAAGTTTAGTCTTTCTGTGCTACGCATTGTGCTGAGGGGACCATCAGGATGTGTAGGGACCAGTGTCTGTCTCAAAGAACCTCTCAGTCTCCAGGCCAAGGAAGGGATAGCAGAGAGAAACAGTTATTGATAAATGACAGAATAAAGAGGAAGGGATAGCAGGAAGAAACAATTATTGATCAATGACAGAATAAAGAGCTAATGTGAGGTAACCGTAACTCAGAGAGTACTTCACACAGAGTTATTAAAAAAAAAAAACAACTTTTTGCCCTCCAGTCGATTCCAACTCATAGTGACCCTACAGGACAGTGTAGAACCGCCTCCCAGGGTTTCCAAGCAGCAGCGAGCTGGTGGATTCGAACTGCCGACCTTTCGGTTAGCAGCCGAGCTCGTAACCACTGCGCCACCAGGGCTCGTTAGATTCTAAAGACAATGCAAAAATACAGGTTGTGAAGTCAGATTACTTGCTGGGCAGCCTTGGGTGGGCCATTTAACCTCTCGGAGCAAAATGGGGAAGGCAGTTCCTACCTCATGGGGGCTGTTGAGAGGAGCAAATAAGACAAGGTGTGTGTACGGTGCACAGTAGTGTCTAACGGAGTAGGTAGCGACTGTCATTACGAAAGACGACCTGGAGTTTGCCAGGACCATGACAAAAAGCCACCCAGCCACTGGGCACAGCATGTGTGAAGCCAGGGAAAGCTCGAAGTCCCACTCTTCTCGTCTATAAAATGTTTTCTGAAGGAAGTCCCTACATCAGGGCCTGCAGGTAGGGGCAGCCACGTGAGCTAGGCTACACGGGGCCCGAAGGCGTGTCCCCTTCCCCCCAAACCGCCCCTACAGACTTTGCTTACCTCGGTCAAATTTCTTGCCCTCTGGGTCAATGTCTTTCACATCGAAAATATCCTCAAACAAGATGCCCGCCATCGTGAGGAGGCCGCCAACGGGGAAGAGGTGCTGAGCGCGCGATCGAGACCGGGGGTACGCACACCCCCTCGCGTGGGTAAGAAACCAGGCAAGGGGCGACCGCCAGAAGAACGGCAGCAAGGGAGCAGGATAGCGCATGCGCAAAGGCGTGCCGTAGCGTCCCCACTTCCGCCGCCTCCATCTCGGGGTATATTAACTTCCGCCCGGAGAGATTGCATCCAAGAGGCTTCTGTGTTGAGGGCGGGTCTCGGGTCCAGGTGACTCCGCCCCTGGGCGGGAACGCAATAGAGCCCGCCTCCGGCCGAGGTGGCAAGGTTTCTCGCGCTCAGCTGGGGCTCTGCTGCGCCCTTTTCAGAGGCTGGGTCCTCAAGACTGTAATGCGTGGGGGCCTATCCCAGGCGAGGACTTTGATCCTTGGCCCAGAGAAGCCCAGCCCTAGCCCTACCCTGTCGTTTGGCGTGCCCGCCGAGGGCACAGTCCGGGCTGGGGCGGGCGGAGTAGAACCCCGCCCCCATCGTACTAGCGGGGCAGGGCGCAGTGCCCAGCCACTCCAGCTGGCACTGAGGCCCCCCTAGGCCGGCTCGGCCCTGCTGGATGTCACCCGAGCCGGGTCCGTCCAGTTTGGGAATTTGCATGATGTCACTGTGGGGAAGAGGAAAACCCGCAATGTCCTCTTCTCTGGTTCTGCACCCGCCTCCCACTGCCGTCTTTCCCTTCCCCACATCGCCCCTTCAGCCTGGTACTGTCCATTTCCCCACCACTGCCCTCTGCTTCTGGACAAGGAGAAGCGACCTCTGCCCCTACACGCCCGCCTCCCAGGAGTGGCCTCTCCGGCGCCCAGATCTCCTTTCCCTCCCCACTCCCGGTCCTCTCCCCACCTCCACCCCCGCACAACCCCAGGCGAGTTTCCTCCAGGCGCACCTCCCTGGGGGAGCCAGGAGGAAGGGAAAAAGAGACCGAGGGTCTCAGCTCCAAGCATCCTCCTGCCCCCGCCCCTTCTGGACCCAGGATTCCCCTCCGAGTCCCCGCAGCTTTGCTCTCACCCCTGGCGAGACAGAGAGGCCTTTCCAGGCCCGTCTCAGCCGCTCGCCCCTACCGAGGAGCAGAAAGGGCGCCGTTCCAGAGAGGGGTTGAGCCGGAAGGGTCCGATTTAGACAGCTCTGCAGCCCCGGACCCCGAGGCCGGCTGAGCTCCGGCATCCCCGGCCCAAGGAGCCGCGTACCGGGCCGGCTCCTCCACGTGCCACCGGACCCGCCCCCGCCCTGTCCCCGGACGCCCCGCTCAGTCCCCGGCCTCGGCGGGGAGGGGGAGCGGTCTCGCGCGGTCCCAGCGCCCCCTGCCGCCTCTCCCGAGCCTGGAGACTGCCCCAAAGCAGACCCCGGCCGGGTTGGGCCGGCCCCTCAGGATGGGCGGGCGGGCGGAGCGCGCAGAGAACACCGCCCTCGGCCCGCCCGCCGGGGAGGGTACAAGAGCGGGAGGCTGCGCTCCCGGCGTCCGCCCGGGGCCCGCCGTACACTGCACTCGGCCGACCGGGCTGCGGGACAGGTCCGGTTCCGGAGCGGGCTCTGCGGACCAGGAGCCAAGTGCTGCCCGGAGCCCGAGCCTCAGCGGGAGACGAGGCGGTGCGCCGAGATGGCGGCCGCGGCGGCAACGGCGGCAGAGGAAGGGATGCAGCCGCGGGCGCTGCAGTACGAGCAGACCCTGGTAAGTGAAGCGGAGCCCAGCCCCGAGGCGTGCGCTGCAGGACCACTGCTCCATGTTACCCTCGGAAGCACTAGGAGCGGGGCCTACCGGAACCCCGCCCCAGCCTTCCGAGCTGGGGAAACTGAGGCTCGAAGGTCTAAGAAGCTGAGGGGCCCAAGGGGCCGGAAGCTGCTTGCAGGTTTCTGGCCGAGGCTGGGGGCCTGAAGAGGACAAGGACACCAGGTACTTGTCCCAGGTGTCCTTCCTTCACACCCTATACCACACACACTCTCACACACTCACACACACACACACACACACACACACACACACGTTTTCTTCCTTCTCCCCCTCACCACCTGAGCCCAAGCCTCAGCACCTTCACACCCACCCCTCATCACTCACAGCTTGAACTTTCTCTCCTTCCGTCCCCACCGTCCAAGACAGTCCCTGTATACCCACTATGCGCGTGGCATGGTGGTAGGCATATAAACAAGGGGGTGTCCAAACATGATCAGACCCAAACCCAGCCCCAGCCCTGCCCCTGCAGGCTTGCAACCCAGCATGAGCAGGAACCCTTCAGGCCACTCTGAAAAAAAAAAAAAAGGTAGCCTCCCACCTTGGGGGACAGGAGCTTTGGGTCTGGGAATTGGGACCTTTGTCCACGCTGACTCTGGGTATCCAGTCCCCACCTATTCCAGGGGTGTCCCTTGACCTCATTAGAAGCAGGGGTCCTAGGTCTCTGCGCTGACTCATAGCCTTGCCTGTTATTTAGTGTGTGTGAAGTTGTTTGCTTCTCGTTGTCACTGGAGCAGGGGACCAAGCCCCAGAGAAGGGAATAGGCCCTGTGTCCCTCCATCAGCTTGGGCTGGAATTTGCCCAGGAAGGTGGCTGGGAGGGAATGCCTCAGCAAGGAGGGGGCTAGGCTGTAACTGAGGCTGGGAGGTGCCCAGTTATGAGAGAATGGCTGTATAAAACAGAACAACAGGGAGAGGTGGCAGGAGTGGCGCTGGAGTGAGATGTTGGGACAGGGTGCAAGGCTTCAATCTGCCCAGGCTGAGGATAGGGACAGTGGTCAAGGCAGAGGCCAACTGGGCACCTGCCCCTGAAATGGAGTCTGTTTCCAGCCACATCTCCATCTCCTCCGGCACCCTCCCTATCTCTGGAATGAGGGAGCGCTCAGGGTCAAATGCTCTCCCGGGCATTCACTGCTCCAGCCTCCCCCCTTCAGCTTCAGATTCCTTTGTCTTTCTCTCCCTCACTCACCTCCCACCTCCCACCCGGTGTCTGCCTCTCGATGCTCAACTTTCTTTCTGTCCTCCTCCCTGCGTCCTCCCCTCTCCTGTCTCCATCCCTTCCCCTCACCTCTCTTCTCCCCTCTTTCTCCTTCAATTCCTTTGCCGCGGTTTCGCCTCCCTCTGCTCGCTCTCTATCTCTCACCCTCTCTGTCTCTATCTTTCCCTCCCTCTCCCCTCCCCACCCCAGCCCCAACAGGAGCCCTTTGTGTCCCCAAGCTCTGCGGGTGGCAGCCGGAATCTACTCCTCCCCACCCCCCAACACATGGCCAGCTTGGCAGGTCTAGCCCTGGCTCTGGCTCTGTCCCATCACCCCAGCATCCAGTCACAGCCCAGCCATCAGCAGCTCTGGTGTCCCCCAAACCGCCACTGGGCTCAGGGCAGCCCCAGAGTGGGGCTGAGGCCACCAAGCCCTCTCCACCCGTCCCAAGAGGCTGGCTGGCTGGCGGGCTGGTGGGGGTTGGGGTGGGGACTGGGGACAAGGGGATTAGGGGGGGTGGGAGGGTGCAGCACAGTCAGTTACAGGCCAGAGGCCCAGCAGGAACGTGATAAGGATTGGGGCCCCGCCTGTTCCCGGGCCCAACTCTGAGCTGCCCCCAGCTCCACGAGGCCCTTATTGTTGACCACAAGCCCTTGACCATCCCTTATTCTCTGACCTTCCCTCCTCCCACTTTCAGACTCTGCGCCCCAGGTTTTTCAGTCTTTTCCTCCCTCCCCCGGGGCCTTCCCTCCCACTCCCCCTCAGCGCCCCTCCCCCAGGGCCTGTGAGAAGGGGACTGATTATTCTCTGCCACCCCCAGAGCTGTGTACCTTGGCCGTCCCCATCACTCCAGCCAGGACAGCCCCCACAGCCTGCAGTGTGCCTTGTTCCCACACCCCAGGCCAGAGTGGGAACTGTGGCCTCAAGAGGGGACATGCAATGTGGGGGCTCTGCCCGCTCAGCCCACATCTGCTAATGCCCCACCTTCCCCACTGCTCCAGATGTACGGCCGATACACTCAGGACCTTGGGGCCTTTGCCAAAGAGGAAGCTGCTCGGATCCGCCTGGGAGGGCCTGAGCCCCGGAGGGGCCCTCCCTCCCCTCGGACTTCCCCAGAGCTCCTGGAGTATGGACAGAACCGTTGCGCCTGGTGCCGCAGTGAGCGCCTGTTGGCGTGGCTGGGCTGGACTGGGATAGATGGGTGCCATTAGAGCCACCCATGGGCAGGGTGGGGTAGAGGGGTGCACACGCCTTGGTGCCAACCTCCTGCTCTTCCCTTTCTTGTTCCCAGTCTGTTCCGTCCACTGCCACAAGTTCCTCGTGTCCAGGGTGGGTGAAGACTGGATTTTCCTGGTTCTGCTGGGACTCCTTATGGCTCTGGTCAGCTGGATCATGGACTATGCTATAGCTACCTGTCTGCAGGGTAAGGACAAGAACTGGCCGGGGCTGCTGGGAAAAACCACCCTGCTTCCTCCGTGCCACCCTCGTCCAGGTGTCTTCGCTAGTTGGCCATTGATCGCTTCCTCTGCCACTGAGCCTCCTTCCTATGCTCTTCGTCCCAGTGAATGCCCCTTCCTACCCCGAGCCCAGGCTCTGCCTGATATTCCCCGGGGCAACTCATCATGTGCCCCACTGGCCCGACGAGGGATGGGCATCAGGGGTCCAGCAGCGCGTCCTCTTCCCACAGCTCAGCAGTGGATGTCCCGGGGCCTGGACGCCAACATCATGCTCCAGTACCTGGCCTGGGTCACCTATCCCATCGTCCTCATCACATTCTCCGCGGGGTTTACACAGATCCTGGCCCCTCAGGCTGTCGGTACAACAGGAGAGAGGGGAGGGCAGAGGGGGGACCTCTGAAGAGAGCACCTCAGGTGACTCTCCTGGGGATGTGCCCCTCCAGGGTCTGGCATCCCCGAGATGAAGACCATCTTGCGGGGAGTGGTGCTGAAGGAATACCTCACCCTCAAGACCTTTGTGGCTAAGGTCATCGGGCTGACCTGCGCCCTGGGCAGCGGCATGCCGCTCGGCAAAGAGGTGACTGCGGGTTGGGGGATGATGGAGCCCCTCCCCAGTGGGGGAAGAGGCCAGGCCGAGGTCAGCGTGGGCCCCTACCCCACTCACCATCTACCCCCCACCAGGGCCCTTTCGTGCACATCGCCAGCATGTGTGCTGCCCTGCTCAGCAAGTTCCTCTCCCTCTTTGGGGGCATCTATGAGGTAAGGGGGACTCTGGTGGCACAGTGGTTAAGAGCTCAGCTGCTAACCGAAAGGTCAGCAGTTCGAATCCATCAGCCGCTCCTTGGAAACCCTATGGGGCAGTTCTACTCTGTCCTGTGGGGTCACCCTGAGTCAGAATTGACTCCACGGCAACGGGTTTGGTTTTTTGTTCTTTTTTTAAGTGAGGGAAGGGGGACTCTGGGGGAGAGGAAGTGTGTGCTGGCTGCCGAGCCCATGGGTGACTACCCCTTCCCGGCACTCTCCTCAGAATGAATCCCGGAATACAGAGATGCTGGCCGCCGCCTGTGCTGTGGGAGTGGGCTGCTGCTTTGCAGCGCCTATTGGAGGTAGGCAGGGCCCCTCAGTTGGCCCAGCCCTCAGCCCTGCCCTTGGCCTCTCCTCCTTGACCTCTCATCTGGGTCTGAGTCCTTAGCCCAGGCTTCAGGTAGCACCCTCCTCTGCCTCCTCACAGGTGTCCTGTTCAGCATCGAGGTTACCTCCACCTTCTTCGCTGTGAGGAACTACTGGCGGGGCTTCTTTGCCGCCACGTTCAGTGCCTTCATCTTCCGGGTCCTGGCTGTCTGGAACCATGATGAAGGTATGGGGAGGCGCTGAGGGGACCCCCTGAGGGGGCTTAGGTTGGGGGGGGGGTCCCTTGAGGTAGACCTGCCTCCCTCTGCCTTCCCTTCAGAGACCATTACTGCTCTCTTCAAAACCCGATTCCGGCTCGATTTCCCCTTTGACCTGCAGGAGCTACCGGCCTTTGCTGTTATTGGGTGAGGAGCTGAGGGGGTGGGGCTGTCGGAGAGGAGGGGGGTCTCCAGGAGAAGACTCCTTTCACCCTGGTACTTCTTCCCTCGCTAGTATTGCTAGTGGCTTCGGGGGAGCCCTCTTTGTCTACCTGAACCGGAGGATTGTCCAGGTGATGAGGAAGCAGAAGACCATCAACCGCTTCCTCATGAAGAAGTGAGTTGGCTCTAGGCTCCTCTCCAGGCTGCCTCTGGATTGTGTGAGGGTCACAGTGGGGCGGGGGGATGCTCACAGGCAGATGGCAAATAGTGGGCCCCTCAAAAATAGGCACCCTGTTGAGAAAATCAGCCCATACTGTTTCCCAGGCTGACTGAGCATTTGCATTTTACATGACTTACCTGAAAATTGGCACTTTTGAATTTTTAGTCACTGGCAGAGGGCATGTGGATCAAAGACTGAGGCTTCCTTAGGCCCTTCAACCTGACCCAAGCAGCAAATGTTCTCTAGAGGGTGTTTGAGCCTCAGTTTCCCCCCATGAAGCTGGGGATGGATGAGATGTTTATCTCCAGAGCCCCTTTCCAGCTTGGCCAGTTGCGTAGCTCTCTCCACTGTGACCCTGAGGTTTGGGAGAGGGGAGGGCTGAACTGTGGTTTCCCTTGGGACTGATATCCTTCAGGGAGAGGGCAGCCAGCTAAACCTTCTCCTCACAGCACGTTTGGTCAACTGCCACGAGTGACCCCAGCTCGCCACAACACTGACCTTCACTCTAAGTCACCACAGAGAAACATGGAGGCGGAAACTTTCCACACCCTCATACAACGCGTCCTTTAGTCGAGGATTCCGGGGGCGGGGGGTGGGGTCCCAGCTGAGAGGTGTCCCAGAGAGGGCTGGGAGGTGGACTCTGCTGCTGCTACCCACTTGTGGAGTCAGGAGCTGACAGAAAGGCCTTCGGGTCACACCCTCAGCCCCTGTAATAGCCCAGGCCACCATCACCCTCAGAGCTATCATATCATGGGCAGCAAAGGGGGCACTCTCAGCACTGTGTGCTTTTCCATAAGAGCCGAGGCTGTGCTCTGACTGAACCCTGAGGGATGTGAGGGCGCCCAGCCTGTTACCAGTACATAGTGAGTGTGCACCCACGTTTGATATTGTGAACTCGGCATGTCTAGACGCCTGCTCTTCCCGGCTCTGGTGACTCTGCTCATCTCCACTCTGACCTTCCCTCCTGGCTTTGGACAGTTCATGGCCGGACAGGTAACCCCAAGCTGAACAGGAATGCATGCTTTCCCTTGGGATATAGCTTTTCTAAACCAGCCCCAGCAGGACTGTGGGATTCCTGTGGGCTCCTACCCTTCATCCCGTCTGCTCCCAGCCTGAGGCGCCCTGTTCACCTATAGCTCTCACAGAAAGAGACGCTGGTCACCCTGTTTGACAACCGGACGTGGGTCCGCCAGGGCCTGGGGGAGGAGCTAGAGCCGCCCGGCACCTCACAGGCCTGGAGTCCACCACGTGCCAATGTCTTCCTTACACTGGTCATCTTCATTCTCATGAAGGTGGGGCTCTTTACTTATGTAGCTGATGTTTAGGCTTGTTAGGTCAGTCAGGGCAATGGGTTTGGTTGGGTTTATTAGGTGCCAGACACGGCCCTAGGCACTCCCATACGTTAACTCCTTTAAACCTCACAGCAATGCTATGAGAAAGGTATATGCCCACGTTAAAGATGAGCAAACTGAGGCACAAATTGGCCCAAAGTCACACAGGTGACAGAGTGAGGATTTGAAGCCAAACAGTTTGGTTCCAGAGTACTTCCTCTTCCCGTCCCCTTCCCCTTCCCCTCCCCTTCCC